GATTCTCCTCCTCCATGTCTCCAACCTCCCCCTCGCTCTCTCTTCCTCTCTCTCTCTGTCTCTCTCTCGCGCTGTGAAAAACTTCGCGCTGGTGCGTCGTGCTGTGTGGCTTGCGAAATTCCTCTGGGCTTTTTTAGTGATCGTGACAACGAAGCGTGAACTAAACCTGCAATCGCCGGGTGTTTTTATTCTTTTTTTCTTTCTTTCTTTCTTTTTTTATTTTTTACACCCGCGGGTGAGGGGGGGAAAAAAATTCTCCCTCGTACACGTGGGCGAGTGTGATTGGGCGGCGCCGAAAAGCTTGTGGGCTTTGAACAGCTTGGGTATCGGGGGTGCTGCGGGGCCCACCTAAATGACAGGCTGGAGCAAATTTTGGCCAGGTGGGGCCCCCTACCGCGGGAAGGGTTTCAGTGGGAGGGAGGAGGAGCGGGAGCCCTGGAGATCCGACGGTTGTGAGCGAATCTGAGAAGAGAACTCGTGCTCCGGTTTCCGTACTATGACCTGGATGGTATTTCGCGAACATTTACCCCAAACATTTGTTTTTTCGACGTAAAAAATCTTAAACCGCACCTAGTATATCAGATTGGCCCTAAACTTTTTTTTTGTAATATGAAAAAACCAAAATTTATACGTATGTAACACTGGTCCATTGAGGCCACAACTCGGGACTCCGATGCTCGTGACGGGATCCATCAAGGCCCAAGCTTTGGGGGCCAAGGATCGGCGCACGAGCATTGGGGTCTCTAGCCCGAGCACAAGAATCGAGGTCCCAAGCCTGGCCTTGATGGACTCGGGCTTGGCCTTTTGTGGATTTGGGCTTGGGCACCAAGGACTTGGCCCCGTCATTAAGGATCCGAACATGGGCACTAGCGTCTAGGGCACAACCTCGATGGATTGGGGCTCGAGTGTTGGGGACCCAAGCGCCAAGTTCCCAGCCCGACCTCTATGGCTCAGACACCAAGGTATCGCACTTAGCTTTTGCAGACTAGGGCCTAATCAAGGCACAAGCATAGGGCCTCTCGCCCCACCTCCATGGACCTAGGACCGGTGCTTGTGCTCTTGCTTGGGACCCAAGTGTCAATGCACAGGTCCCCGGTGCCATTGTCAAGATCCATCAAGGCTAGACCCAAGATCCCAGTGTCCATACCTGTTCCCAAACTGCCCATGTGCAAGTTACTAGCATCAGAATAGTGCATGTGTATTTAGGAAAATCAAATCCAATCAAATTTTCCTTTCCAAACAACGGAAAATATTTTCCAGTTCTCTTTCACGTTTCAGCCAACACACCAGAAAATATTGTCAATTGTCCTAGAAAATGACTTCTTGCAAAATATTTTCCAGAAATGCAACATTTTCCGTGAGGAGAACTTGTTATTCAATATTCTGATATTTGGATGACGGAAAGCTAATCGGTGTAAGAAAAACGTTTTTCATAGATGGAAAACAACAAGTTTAGATTAGAGGAAAAAGATTTTTCCTCTATAACAAGAAGGAAATCGGTATTTCTTAAATCGCTAAAAAAAATTGAAAACTAACTATTTCTCTTTAATAGTTTCTTTAATTATGATTTCTATACGCAATGGCGATCTCGCTAGCTGGTTTCGCGCGACACTTTGGTTCTCAAAGGTAAAGCTACAGTAGTGGTCAACGATATGGAGAAGTGTCGTCCTCATCACACAGGTCAAGTCGAACAACCCGTAGTTCCTTTTAAAAGAAAAGTCAACCTCAACGCGTGGGACACAGCACAAACCGATGGCTCTAGGAAAAAACCACAGAAGAAATCTCTGCAGCCGCCAAACCTTATCATCACCGTGATCGTGAATCAGACAAGGCATGGCATTGCTCCGTTCCGGAGCGATTTTGTCAACCTTATCAATCGAAAAAACCGACGAAACAGAAGGGAACAATTGTAAAAGACCGCGTGGGGATTTGCATTAAACCATACGGTGATGACAACTGTCATAAATGTGGTCAAAAGTCAAAGTTCAGACATGTTTAAACGGGGAGAAGAATATTAGAAGTGTCAAAACTTGTGTACGGCGCTCAGTACCAAAAGTTTTCGCCGGCACACTTAAGTGCCAAATCGGAGAAAAAACGATCACTTAAATGCCAACGATGAGAAATTACAGCCAAATTAATACGTGATTTTTATAATTAAAATTTTAATCTGAGTTGGATTTTTTTTTTAAAAAATAATTCTACGTGGCATTTTTCATGTGTACATTTAGATTTTTTTTAATATTTTTTCTGATTTTTTTTCCTTCTTTTCTTTTTTTCTTCTCTTTCTTCTTCTTCTTCTTTCGGCCTCCGGTACCGGTGGTGACCGGAGGCCTACCACGGCCAGCCGCCTAGCCTTGCCCGGATGAGGCCGCCATCGCCTGCCACAGGCGAGGCCCGGCTGACTCTCACTTGGGCGAGGGCGGGCGAGCCCCGGCAAGGGTCGACCTCGCCTCACCTGGGTGAGGGTGAGCCCTGGTGAGGCCATGGCGGCCTCGTTGGATTGGCAAGGCGAGGCCGACCCTCGCCAGATCCGACGAGGCCGGCCGACGTCGTGGCCACGGTGGCCTCGCGGGTGTCGCCTTCCCTCGAGTGATGGCCCCCCTCGTCGGATCTGGCGAGGGTCGGCCTCGCCTCGCCCTCGCCAAGGCGAGACGAGGCCGACCCTCGCCAAATTCGGTGAGGCCGGTTGTCGCCCGGGGGAAGGCGACGCCCCGCGAGGCCACCGTGGCCACGGCGTCGGCCAACCTCGCCGGATCTGGCAAGGGTCGGCCTCGCCTAGCCTAGTCGAGGGCGACCTCGGCGAGGCGAGGCCAACCCTCATAGGGGTTCGCTCGCCCTCGCCTGGACCGGGCCTCGCCTGTGGCGGGCGACGGTGGCCTCGTCCGGGCGAGGCTAGGCGGCTGGCCGTGGCCGGCCTCCGATCACCGGAGGTAGAAGAAAGAGAAGAAAAAAAGAAAAGAAGGAAAAAAAATCATAAAAAATATTTAAAAAATCCAAGTGTACATGCTAAACTATATCGTTTTGATGTGTACATGCTGACTAAACCTCCGGTAAGCCACATCGGCTTCAGAAATTAATAAAAAAATGCCACATCGGATTTCCGGTCAAACTGACCGAAGTTGGCACTTAAATGATCGTTTTTCAAAATTTTTAGCACTAAAGTGATCCAAAAAAAACTTTTTGCACTAAAGTGAGCGCCGTACACAAGTTTTGGCACTTCTGCTGTTCTTCTCCCCGTTTCAATGTTACCTCGGCTAGTCCCCTTTTGGGACCTTTCAGTAGTCATGGCCACGGGCCAGTTTTGGCCCGGAACCGGCCCGGTCAAACCCGGGCCTGGCCCGTTGACCGGGCTCGCGGTTCGGAACCGGAACCGACCCGTGGCCTACGGGCCCGGTTCCGGTTCCAACAATTTTGGAACCGGCCTGGAACCGCCGGTTCCAGTTCCGGTTCCAAATTATTTATAAAAAAAATAATAATGAAATTTAAAAAAAAATTCATTATTTAATTTTTTTTTATAAAACAATTTGAACTCTAATTGCCATGCATTGTAAGTGCATTGATCTCTAAGTACAATGCTTGGCTTGGGTGTATTGAACTCTAATTACAAGGCTTGGCTTGGGTTTTATACACAACGATTCTAATGCATCTTCGTTCCCATTCGATGTGGGACTCTCGGCTTGCCTTGAACATGCAAATGCCAAGAGTCTCACATCGAATGGGAATGAAGAGACCATCAAATGGATTGTGTATAAAACCCAAGCCAAGCCATGAGCATGTGAAGTTGTATGTCTTTTGTGGCTACGATCCTTTGCTAGTTGAGAGCAAAGGGTTCTATTGGACCGCCTAGAACTGGACCGGGCCAATGGTCCGATTCCCGGTTCTATGATTTGCCGGTCCGGTTTCTAGTTCTAAAATTAAGGGACCGGTCTTACCGGTTCGGTTCCCGGTTCCGAGCGGAACCGGACCGAACCAGGAACCAATCACCCCTACAATTTACATTTTGATTACAATTTATATTGAATAATTCATTATTTCATAATTTTATAATTCATAATTTTTTTATTTCATAATATATTTTTAAAAATTTTAAATTACGAACCGGAACCGGAACCGCCGGTTCCGGTTCACGTATGGCCACGAATCGAAACCGCCGGTTCCGAACCGTGGCCATGCCTACCTTTTCAGGTGTAAATGCTCGAAGTAAAGTGAGATTCATGCCAGAAAAACTCGACGAGGGTGTAAATGCTCGAAGTAAAGTGAGATTCATGCCCGAAAAACTCGACGAGGGTGATGTTCGGATCGGTTTTCGCGCGCCTCGGTTGGCCTTGCCCCCTTCGATTATTTGTAGAATCATTGAAAGGGAATCTAAATACCCCAACCCCATCGTCTCAAAAGCTTTAGACATCAAATTTTAAAATCGTATTTTGTCTTAAAGTTAATACCACGAAAAACCTTAAACTAGTATACTCGTGACAAATTTACACAAAAATTAATTTTTTAACCACAAAAAACTCCAAACCTGTATACCCGTGATAAATTTAATCTCCGTTAGTTTTCGTTAATTTTACCGTCAAATTCCTGATTTGGACGGCGTGTGACAGCTGACGAGTGTACCATCTTGGGATTTAACCCTCCATTTGTCATATGTTTACCAGTTTGTGATTCTTCACGGTATTAATCCAATTTAACGAAAACTAATAGATGGTGAATTTATCATAAATGTACCAGTTTTGAGTTTTTTGTGGTCAAAAAATTAATTTGGGGTAAATTTATCACAAATATATTAAATTTTTTTGTGGTAAAAAAATTAATTTGAAATAAATTTATCACAAGTTTAGCAAGTTGGCGTTTTTCGTGGCATTAGCACTTCGTTTTAAGGCCATAAAACAACATGCAGAGTACTTCAATGTCTCGAAAGTCTCGGGCATCCATATTTTCAAGAAGAAGTGAAATAACGAAAAGTCAAGATAAAGAAAGAGAACTTTGAGAGGCAGACACGCTTAACTAAACTCGAAAACGTGTATCCGTCATCGAATTCCGTAGGTCAGAAGAAACTATCGAAGTACCGCGATCCTCAACCAAGCCTAATGATCAAATGACTTTATTCTATACCCACCATCCAAAATATAATCAATAATAAATATCATCAATCTAGATCGAAAACCTATGAAGCGAAAATCAAACTAATCAATGACCCAGAATCCAATCCTGCAAATACCGCTACAAGAAAGAGGTGCCCGCGAGCCCATGGTGCAACAAATTGTGAGCGATCTGATCCCGGGCGTGCGCGGCGGCGGCCGACCGGACCGGGTTCTCGGGCATCATCTCGTCGTCGAAGATCTCGAACCCCAGCTCCAGGTCCATGGCCTCGTTCCTCGCCTCGCAGATGTTGTGCAGCACGCAGCACGCCCCGAGCACGACGGGCAGGTCCTGCAGCTTCACCTCGGTCCGCTTCTGCAGGCACGCCCACCGCCCCTTGAGCCGCGTGAACGCCTCCCGCGCCACGCCCCGGACGTCCGCGAGCTTCTGGTTGAACGCGTGCTGCGTCCACGTGATGTTCTGGTGCGTATAGGGGACGAGGACCCAGTCCATCAGCGGGTGCCCGGGGTTCCCGACGACCCACACGTCCTTCAGTAGCCCCTTGCTGGCCCTTTGGTACAGGGCCGACTTCTCGAGTACCTGGTCGTCCGGCATCGACCCGGGCCACCCGATGCACACGTCCGTGAACACGCCCCGCGGGTCGACCACGCCCTGGACCGTGATCGAGTATGTGGTCTTCTGGTTCCTCTCCGTGTGCCGCCTGTTCAGGTACGCTGCGACGCTGATCTTCGGGGCGATGATGGGCACGTGGGTCGTGTACATTGCCCCGCACACGCGGGGGATGCCCGAAGCCGCCTCGAACTCGTCCTTGATAGCCGCAAGCCGGCGCTCGTCGGGCCACTGAAGGAACTTCGGCATGAGGACGTTGCGGATCGCGGAGCAGACCTCGAGGATGAGCTTGTGGCACGTGGAGATGCCGAGCCCGAACCGCTTCGACACGAGGCGGAGCGGCTCCCCCGTCGCGAGCCGCCACACGCACACCGCCACGCGCTGCCGCACGGGGATCGCCTCCCGCAGCATCGTGTTCTTCTTCGTGACAGCCGCGTCTAGCTCGTTGCAGATGAACTCGAACGTGGCCTTGCTCATCCGGAACTCCCGCCGGAATTCCTCCTCGGGGAACTCCGGGCTGTTGCACCGCTCCCACCAATCCTTGGACCGGTCCTTCACCCAAAGCCGCCGCTGCTGGCCCGCGCCCGGCGTCGGCGCGTGCGCCTCACCTCCCCCCTCCGCCGACGACGCCGACGCCGACGCCGCAGCAGCCGCAGCCGCAGCTGCCGCCGCGGCGCCCGACTGCCTGGCGCGCTTGTTCTTCCTCGCCTCGACCTCGTTCGCGCCGTCGTAATGCGCCTGCAGGTTGCAGTAGTAATCGCTCATCGCCCGGAGCTCCCGGTCGTAGCTCGATTCCATGGAGGCCTTCCCCCACGCCGACTCGGCGAAGAAGCCCTCCCTCTCCCGCTTCTCTTCCTCCTCCAGCAAAACGAGCGAGCTCACGATCTCTCCCACCGACCCACCACCACCACCACCACCATTGCCATCGCCGCCTCCACCCCCACCCCCTCCTCCTCCGTCTCCCTCCTCCTTCCTCTGACGCTTGAACGGGCTGCCCGCGTCGTCCCCGCCGACGCCGCCGAACGAGGAGGAGGAGCCGCCGCCGCCCGCGGGTGGGTAGCCGGCCATGTCGGGGAAGAGGAAGCCGGAGAGCTGGGAGAGGTCGTCGTGGATGTCCTGGTTGAGAAATGAGAAGGGAGTGAGCTCCATCAACGGGGTGAAATGGGTGGAAGATGAGATTCGTTCAGGTGGGAATCCGAATGTGAACTTGAACGCTTCGTGGGGGCTGGTCTGAACCGGACAGAAGAGTCGTCGGAGCTTGCGGGAGTCTTTATACGGTTTTTTGGGCGAGAAGCGTGTGCGCCTTGGCGGTGTGAACGCGGTGGAACAAGGGAAGAGGGGGGGGGGGGGGGGAGAGGAAGGTGGTCGCTGACGGTGACTTGACTTTTGGAAGGATTAAGATGATTAAGATTAAAATTTAATGAATTTTTTTTTATTAGTAAACGCGAAAGCCTTGCGGGGGTTTTTGTTTACGCGGTCCCGCGGGGTTCTTTGGTTTGAGGAAGGAAGTTGATGGTTTTTGGAGCTCCTTCCTTCCCCCTTTTTTTCCAATTGAATTAAATAAAAAAAAGTAAGGAATGAATATTATGTTCGACGCTGCGAATATAGAAGGAAGAGATGGAGAAGTTTCGTGGGGTTGCTTATCTATTGGAATATATGTACAGTGTTGTATCGAGGTAAGAGGCGGGGGTCCGCAGGTTCCGAAAGCCGAGTCAAGGTGCTTCTGCTCTAGCCCGGGTTTTTCGAGGTCTTCGGGATCGGGGATCTCGTCCCCGCCGTGACCCCCCCCCCCGGGGACCGCCGGACGATCAGGGGAACCCGCCGGTTCCTGCGGATTCCGGGGGGGGGGGGGCGCCTCGCGCGTGCCGATGGGGAATATCGCCGAGCGAAAGATGGCCGCGGTCGTGGTTTTTAACGTGTGTTGGATATAAAACTTAGAATGGATCTTGCATGATGAACAGCGATGTCCGATGATGACAAAAGTCCTAGTGGAAACTCGAGAGGAAAAGACCCTTGTATCATCGGTTCACACTCGTCTTTTAAATTTGCGAGTTCACATGACCCACTCGCCTTGGGCTTAAAAGATGAATATTGCCCCCCCTCCCCATCAATCAAGTTTCGAGAAGAATTGCACAAATTTAAGTCAATAGTGAGATCTGACCAAACAAAAAAAAACAGAAGTCAATAGTGAGAGAAAGCACCTTTCCTTCTCCCAACTCCCCTTTTCTGCTTCGCTTTCCGCACCTTGCTTCGTCTCTTCCACTCGTAAAGCGGAGGGAATTGACCTAGATCTCTCCCTCCTCTCTTAGTTGCTTTTCTTTTTATTTCTTTTTTTTTACCCTTCCAATCTAGTTTTAAATGTGGAAGCTCTACTGCCCCGATCTTATGTTCAAGAGCTTTTCTCTCCGGTCTCTCCAGAGTTTGGAGTTTTAATGAATAGGTACTCCGCCTCCAGTTTCAATGGTGTTCAAAGCAGCTTCGATGTCAAGTCCGTGCTCGTTCGACGTGTTTTGGTTAGAAGCTTGTGGCGCCTCGCACTGGCTAAAGGGCTCGCTCTCGCAAGTGCCAGATATGAGCTTATTCAGCATGTTTACGTTGTCTCCTTATGGTGATTGTGTCAGGGACGCCGAACCTAGGCGCATATAACCGAAATGGAAAAGCCGTAACTACATATGGAGATCCCACGCGTGTGGTTATCACTGATGATGCTACGTGATTCGGTGATCGGCCGTCGATCCTTTCGCTTAGATGCGGTCATAGAACTGTTCTAGAAGGACGAGTGTATGTTCATATCTGCCAACCACGCTTTAATGATATGCTTTGATTTATGGTTTTCAGTTTGTTTTTGAGCTCTATGGGCTTGCCTTGTTATTGTGTCTTTTCGGATTTCCTATGAATCCTTTCATGTATTATTTTGGTAAGAAATTAATTTCTTTTGAAAAAAAAAAGTTAATAGTGAATACTTTTCATTGCAATTTGCTTCCACAATTTTGAATATTTTCATTGCAATTTGCCTCCACAATTGATAAACTCTAAAATCATTAAAATTTTCATGACCTTGCCTAATAGCCTACACAATGTTAAATCTAATCATGTTTTTGAGGCGTAAGAAGGCTATTTTAATTCTTAAGAAAAAATGCTCATATCCACCCCTAATAGCCAAGTTTGTCACAAAGAGAGAGATATATGATTGGAGATTTGTTCTAACTTTAGAATATGGAATCTACCTTGCAAACTCTAATACCCATCTCGGAACCTCCTCGTCCATGTCGGTTCCGTTGGTCCACAGGTTCTAGAGGTTCTCCAGCGCAATCCTAATATCGGGAAAGATCGAGGCTACATATACTAACAAGTCTCATTATTATATTGTTACAAAGTGATGCATCAACTTTTTATCGAATGTTTTAGGCTTAATATCACGAAAAATCCCAAATTGATACATCCGCGATAAATTTACTCAAAACTAATTTTTTGACCACAAAAAACCCCAAACTGGTACACCCGTGATAAATTTACCAAAAACTAACCCCAAATTGATACATTTGTGACAAATATATTCTCCGTCAAATTGGAATAATACCACGAAAAATCACAAATTAGTATACATGTGACAAACTGAGGGTAAAACTCCAAACTAGTACGACCGTCAACTGCCACGTGTCCTTTAACTTAGAAATTTGACTGTAAAATTTAACTGAAACTAACTGAGAGTAAAAACGTGTCCTTTAACTTAGAAATTTGACGGTAAAATTTAACCGAAACTAACTGATGGTAAAATTGTTACATGTGTACAAGTTTGGGATTTTTGGTGGTCAAAAAATTAGTTTTGAGTAAATTTATCACATGTGTACCAGTTTGGAGTTTTTCGTGGTATCAACCTAATGTTTTAATAAGTTCAATTTATAGGTCCCGCTCGATCCAATATCCAAAATTTGCCACATCAATTAACAGACAAGTTTTCTAGTTAAATTTCCTAGTATGTTTTCTAGTTACATTTCCTAGTATGTCTAAAACTTTCTGCTAGATAAATTCTCGCGTCTCCATTGAAAATGCCAAATTAATCATTAGGCAACAAATTTTGTTTTTCCACATTGCTCGGTCTACCGACTCTCCAAGGGCAAGTCAAAAAGATGATTAATCTTTATTGACTTCGTTATGGCATAATTTTCAACACTCTTTCGAAAATGTTTCTATTTTCGCCCCGATTTTTCTTCCCCAAAATGGTTGGCGATTGGGCACCGGGGTGCTGTGGAACAGGCCAATATGCTTTCGACGCGTCACCGTGCACGTACGTACGTCCGGACGTCACGCTCGAAGCCCCACGCCATCGCTTACGTCGTAATAGCATGGAAATTCCTGATATCACGTTTACGGACTTTTAAATAAAATGGTTAATACCACGAAATTTTTTAAATTGATATATTTATGTTAAATTTATCCCAAATTAATTTTTTGATCATCAAAAACCCTAAACTTATACATCTGTGATAATTTTACCCCAAACTAATTTTTTTATTACAAAAAACCTCAAACTGGTACTTTTGTGACAAATTTATTATCCGTTAATTTCAGTTAAATTGGATTAATGCAAAAGAAAAAATCACAAACCGGTAAACCTGTGATAAATGGAGGGTAAAACCCAAAATCGGTATATCCGTGAACTACTAGGTGTCATTTAATAAAGCAATTTAATAGTAAAATTTAACGAAAACTGACGCATGGTAAAATTGTCACAGGTATATCAGATTGAGGTTTTTGGTGGTCAAAAAATTAATTTGGACTAAAATTATCACAGATGTACTAATTTTAGGTTTTTCGTGATATTTACCCTAAATAAAAACGGTAATTTTTCGTGATTTAATGGGCCACGATTGGTGAAAGGTATCCTATTAATGCGCTTGAAGAACGCCTCGTAAAAATAGCTACATTATCGTCTTTAGCTGCTTTTAGGAAGTCATGTTATTCAAAGTTTAAAGAGCGGCGGCTCTTAAATTGTATTAACTACCAAGTACGCTAATTCAATATTTCATAATGTAGATATAAATCATGAGATAATTACAGCACAACCATAATTCTATGAACTCATAGTTATTTAGAAATACATTTGTTTCGCGGAAAATGAATGATTTAAATAAATGCCCACATCTCTTCAAATAATTAGTCGATGAAAAAATATTTTTAATATCGACAATAATTTATATTTAAACATTTTTGCGGACGATGAAAACATATGTTGTTCGTTTGTTTCTGCAAGCGATATGAGTGATTATTTTTAGAAAAAAATATTTTTCAAATTAATCATTTTCTGCGAAACAAACGGAGTTGTGGAAGAAGAATGGTTTGTAAAATAATTTCCGAAAAATGATTGGTTATATTTCTTAAAAAAAATTAATAAATGAAAAATGTTTTCACCATCCAGAAAAATTTATGCCCAAACAGTTTCATAAATGATAAAGACATTTTTTCGGTCGTTCATTTTTTTAAGTAGTACAAGCTATCAATTTTTAGAAAATATTTTCTAAATCATTGATTTTCCGTGGAACAAACGCATCCTTATAAAAAAGTTATCCATATGCTTGTCAAAGATTAAAAGCGTGTTACGCATTGATTAGAATTGCACGAATAGATACTAGTGACCCACGTTTTTCCTCTTCGGTGCGAGTCTTCCCTAGTGAGAACGGGAAAGAAAATGATAGTGATTTGTTTGTTTTTTTTAGTACGACGAGACGAGGTATCTAACAAACCCTAAATTGGAACAGTCAACTAAATTCACACGAGTCTGACCAAAAAAAAAGGAGAAATACTAAATTCACATGATTAAATAAGGCGGTCAATAACCATGTTTGCTTTTGACAAAAGGGAACTCGATCAAATCCCAACTTTGGTTGTTGAGTTTAAGGAATGACTGGTTGGCCCAAGACAAAGGAAAGAGGTACAACTCTTCAACCGTTCACATTTGCCGTTGACCCGTCCTTCTCCCAAAAGTCAGCCGGTCAACAAGCTCCTGGACGGTCAAATGTTAGCTGGGGGCATCTGTCCTAGTAAAGTAATCTAAACAATATTTTCTTGACATGGTCACATTAGATTGACCTTAATAATCAAGTACTAAATTGAGGATGTCCTAAGCTTATGATCAGCAAAGTGCTGTCGTGCATCTATTTTTATTTCCAGGCGTTCGTGACGGTGCTATCTGTTGTACCGACGACTTCGGTATTAGACGAATGACAAGGAGGGAAACGACTAAATTAAGAAAAATTGGCTTAGATTGGATCCCGTAAAGTAATCTAATAATCTTTCTCGACATATTCACAATAGATTGACCAAATAATCAACTACTAAATTGAGGATGTCCTAAGTTTATGATTAGCAAAGGCGCCATCGTGCTTCTATTTTTATTTTTATTTTCAGGAGTTCGTAATGGTGCTATCTGTACTGACAGTTTCAATATTAAACGAACAACGAGGAGGGAAACGACTAAATTAAGGAAAATAGCTTAGATTAGATCCAAATTTTAATTTTGAAAATTTACTCTTTTTTTTCTTTTTCAACTTGGCGACTTTTAAAATCTAACTTTTATTCAATGAAAAAAGCCTTAAAATTTTTTATCAGTAATAACTTTGTAAAATACCATCTTGAGTAGGCAATTTTTTTGGGGTATAACGAACCTAGAAGTTTCTAGACCAGTCTTCTATCGTGCACCTCGATCGCTCCACCTCTCGGTGATCTCAGGGGCACTCCCCGTATCGTTATATGGCGCATTCGGGATTTTACCAACTCGAATAGGCAATTTAAATGCATTGCGTTTTCCGATAATTACTTCTTGTCTCGGAAATTTATATTTTCAGAAATACCCCCGTGGTTACTCTTATTCACGCACAACTCCAAAAGTATCCCCCCAATTTGCAGGATCACCCTGAACCGTTCCAGGAGGACATTGGATCCTGTGGCTCCCATTCATTTCTGACCTTGAGGCTGTGGTTGCTTCATGCTGCTACGCATATGCACGCTGGCTTAAATTAATGATCACAAATAATAAATACCAAAAGGCATAAAAAAAACAGAGGAGAAAAAAAGAGAAAAGTAGTTCCAAGATTGTGTGGATCCATCCATCTTCGCTCGATCAATCATGGCGTCTCTTCTCAGTCCATCGCCCGCTGCATCTTTGCAAAACAAGGTAGCTAAACTGCTGCTCATGTTATCGTTAACTAGTTCCTCCTTCAGTCAGTCCTCTGTTTTCGATTTGTCTGCTTTAAGCTTGATCAGTTTCCTCGTCGGTCGATGCTGAAAATTCACGATCTTTTTGCTTATCTGCTCCATCTCATTCGTGTCGTGGTGGGTTTTCTTGAATTTTTGGGACGGTTTCTTGATTTGGTTCTTGGTTATAAGTTGCCCCCACCGGGTTATCATTGCCCTTTGAGGCCTCGAGGGCTCTTGTTGTTCGCGCTCAAGATTCTAGTTGTTAATCGATACAAGTCATGAGTGAGTTGAATTGAGGGTCCGTTGTTTGTAGCTGGAAATGGATGAAAGGGGGCAAGGTTTAAGATTCATAGAAAAGATATACAAATTCGTAGCTTTTGATGCGGCGATCTCGTCTAATCTCTGCATTTTCAGCTTCTTGAACATGCTTGCTTTGCGTGGTGCTTAATCCACCGTTGTTGGCCAGTTGCACAAGTTGTTCTCCAATGCCAGGAAAACTGTTTGATGAATTTTCTCCTTTGCATTCAGGTGAATCATTATAAAGCTAATGGCTCGTGCATGAGCGGGCCGCGAGCGGCAATACCGCGCTGTACGGTTCGAAGAGGCGGTAGATGTCACCTTGTGGTGAAAGCTCAAGCAACTGTTGAAGGGGCAACACTAACGAGAGAAGCGGATGCAGTGACCAACAGAAATGGTGATTAGACAGTCGTTTTGGAACTTCTTTTTTGTCGGTGCATTTTGGTTTCGCTCTAATGCTTGCGTATAACTAGCATTTTAGTATCCGGGCAGTTCAAAACAATCTGGCTCTTTTATTTTAGTTTCTAAATTTTATCTGCTTAAGCAATGGAAATCGTTTGGTTCCAAGTATTTTTTATGGATCGTGGCACTTCTGTGTTCGATTTTCTGAATTTTGTGTGGTAGCTGGTTGACATCAGATGGAGAATTGGAGTTGACGAATTGACTTGAAATGTTAACCTGCCATTTCGTATCGAATTCCAAACTGCGAAGCACATCTCTTCTGTATGGTTAACTAGGAGTTCAGTAGTAAATTGGTCAGATCAGTCTGCTCAGCATAAGGAATTCATTTGTGCTTTTGCAGTGTTGTGGGTGAAAAATAGCTTGCAGAATCACTGAGTGTCAGTCATTTGCTCGTCTGGTCTGGTCATAGAATGATCATCTTGGAATACTGAATCCACTAGGTTATTTTGTAGAACTACTTATTTGCTGGCATAGTCATGCTTTTTTGCGATCCTTGAGCTTTAGCAACACGTACCTTGATGCAGATATAGGATTCCTCAGCATTCATCATGTAGGAATCCTATGCGAAAATCTCGAAAGGTCACTCGATTTTTATCAAAACCTTCTCGGTAAGTCCAACTTCCCCTGCCACCATTCAGGTACTAGATAATTTTTTTTCGAAGGAAGCGTGTGCAAGTAAATGATTTGTCAATTTTTTCTGGTGAGTCAGGTCTTGAGATAAACGAAGCACGTCCGGATGACAAACTTCCCTATCGGGGTGCTTGGTTGTGGGTGGGTTCCGAGATGATTCACCTGATGGAGCTCCCAAATCCAGACCCTTTGACCGGAAGACCCGAACACGGGGGCAGAGACCGTCACACCTGCATCTCTATTAAGGACGTGTCCAAGCTGAAGGCCGTCCTTGATAAAGCCGGTATGCATCTCTTTCCTTACTCTTTGGCTAGTAGTAAATGCGTCTCATGAAGTGCGGGCCTTTCGTTCGGTGGATCATGTCTTAGGACGCATAGCGATGAAGTTGAGCACTTGTTTGGCCCTTCTACTTGCAGGCATTCCTTACACGCTTAGCAAGTCAGGGAGGCCGGCGATCTTCACGAGAGATCCGGATGCAAATGCTCTCGAGTTTGTGCAACTTGATTAATGAGGCCAGCATTTTGAGAGTTCATACTTTCGCTCCTTTGCATCCAGTATCTCTGCACTCACAGATACTCCTATTCTGTAGTATTTCAGCACCACACGCACTTATGTACATAAGATTGCTGAGTTTAATGTGATAAGCCTCGTTGTGTTATCGGTGCCTTGGCCATTCCCCACGGCTAATAAGGATTTGGTTTATTCAGTTCATGGAGCAAGAGCATCGTTTGAGTTCGTCGGTGCAGCTAGGTTGATTTTTCGCTCTGATCTTCTCTTGGCAAAGCTTTATCTGTTCTTTGATGCCGTTATCGATCTGACTACTTCGGTCGGAGAACTTTACGTAGGAGCGTGCACGCGATTGATAAGAAACCTCTCATTTTACGGATGAATTACCCTCGAAGATCATGACAGGATGGCAAAAGGTTGGCAAATGGCGTATGAATCATTAGAACTCTTAGGCTTTTTGGGATGATGTTTCATCCTTGAGAGAACCCAAATCCAGATATCTATAACAACGACCCATGGCATTGTGAATGCGATCGGACAAGCATCGCAGGCCCAAATGGCTTCGCAATCCCGTTTCGGCCCAGAAAATTTTTGTCATTTAGGCTCTGTTGAGATCATTCATGCCGCCAACAAATTGACTATGAAAGCAACTAATGCGTTCTGAATGACCAGGAAAAAGGCAGCAGGATCATCATGTCACCCGAACGATAAAGTATCAATCGCGTTCATACGCCATGTATCGCTGGAACGCGGGGCAATGGACCAATCGAAATTAGATTGTTTGCCATTTGCGAACGCTGCGCAAGCTGAGTTTATTAATAGCAAGCACGTTGTGTATATTTGAGACTGAACCAAGCCTACAAAATCAAGCTGCACATTCTTTGGGCCGGGCTATGGTATAAGAAGCATGGTCTGGTCATGCTTTCAGTTGGTAATGGCCAGTAGCCATGATATGCATCAATACGACTCAATTGCTATATAAGAAACATGTGGATCTAGACCGGTTTCATTGATAGCAGAAGAGGCCGACTCTATAGAGGCGCCAGAGCTCGACTGATAGAATCCTAAGTCAAAAGGCCCGGTCTGCCTTATAAAAAAAAAAATAATGACGCAGATGGTCCCTAAACATTAGCTCAATATGCAATGCAGTCTCTGAAATTTATCAAATGCGCAATGTGGTCCGTTTCAATTTGTTCAGTATGGTCCTTGGACTTTGATGCATGTTTAATGTAGTTCTTGAACTATATGAAAATGTTCAATGTTGTCATTCTATTAGTTTAAAATCAGGGACAACATTGATCATTTTACAGAGTTCAGGGACTAAATTAAACATGTACGAAAAGTTCAGGAACCACATTAAACAAATTAAAAGTTCAGAGACCATATTGTACATTTAACTAAAGTTCATGGACTATATTGAACAAATGAAAAGTTTAGGGACCACATTATACATTGGGCCAAAGTTCAGGGACCATTTGTGTCATTTTCTAAATTAAAAAAAAAGCATTTGTGCATCTAGACCCTTTTGTATGAGGCTGAATACGTATCCTATAGGTTTGCCATATTTCATTGACTCAACACCAATTTATCAAGAGAAGTTAGAACTCAACTCGATCTGCATGATTTAATTTGAAATTGACACGAACCAACATTTTTTACTAATTTTTAGTAAAGTTATTTTCTCTAATTACGTTGAAAGATTTTGGTGATGACATGAATAACAGACACAAATAAGGCGGCGCCATGTGAATAACTGATCCAGATGAAAGTAAATGCTAAGATGGCTTTGGATGACGGTTTGATAGTATTAGGGCCTGTTTGGTAACCATCTCGTTTCTCTATTTTTCTATTCTTTTGTTTTCCAGAATAGAAAAAGAACATAAATCCGTTTTGTAATGTCAATTATCTTTTCCGTTCTCCGGAATAAAAAAGTAGCAAGGGAATAGATTTGGAACAGAAATAAGAAGTAAAAAAAACCTATTTCTTTGTTCACGGGAACAATTTCCGAAACAAGTCATTTTCTTTTTTTCCTTCCTTCTTCTTCCTCCTCTAGTTGGTCGTCAGGCATCGACGATGGCTGGAGACTGGCTAGAGACGAGGGCTAGCGAGGCTTGACTTGCCTAGCCACTACGAGGTTGACCTCGCCAGCCCTCGTCTCTGGCCAGTCGCCAGCCATCGCTAATGCCCGGCGATCGGCTAGAGGAGGAAGAAGAAGGGAGGGAAAAAAAAAAGAAAAAAATTCAAGAAATCTCAGAAAATTATTATAAACTAAAAGAATTCCACGTCACAAAAATTTTTTAGGGTCATATCAAACGTTTTTATGTTATTTTTCTATTCTAAGAATATAAATTTTGTACAGTTATCAAACACGTTCTTCTACTTAGAAACTCGTCCATGAAATATAAATAGAAAAACCTATTCATGAAAAAAAAATTATTCCCAGAAATAGAAATGTTACCAAATGCACCCTTAATGAATCAATTGCCCATATTACATATTAGTGGAAGGCTCGTACAGTTCTTAGGCCTACCATTTTATTTTTACTATGTCTCTACCTTTAGCGAATAATGAAACAATATCTTTTATACCATATAAGTCAAGTATAAATGAAATTCGAAATTATTTCCAAAAATCTAAACTTTAGGTTCTTTCATAAGTAACTTTTTCCTTTTCTATACAAAAGTTTGTCTCCTGTTTCTATTATAATTTAATTGGCTGTTGGTTATAGCTATTAAAAGCGAAAACATACCGATAATCTTATACCAAATCATATGTTAAGTTTTTTCTACTCAATGGCCTTTCAATTTATAATATAAGGCTCCATTTGTTTTGTGGAAAATAGATGGTTTGGAAAATATTTTCTTAAGAATGATTGTTTATATCTCTTGAAATAATTAGTCAATGAAAATTGTTTTCATTATCGACAATAATTTTATGTCTTAACATTTTCATGGATGATGAATATTTTTTGTTCATTCATTTTTGTAAACAATATAAAAGATTATTTTAATAAAATATTTTTCAAATTATTCATTTTCCACGAAATAAACGAAACCTAATAATAAAATATAAAAAACTATTTCGTTGTTTTAATATGGGAAGAATTATTTTGTGAATAAAGTCATCATATGTCGAATTTTCTTGAATATATTCTTTTCCTATAATAATCTGCCAATTAATAATATACAAGAAGTCGAAGCAACATGATGTTAAAATATTTAAATATTAAACCACGCATTCTTTTAATAGTTCAAACTTTTAGAGCGATTGGATGTGATTCTACAAAATTTTACATGGCATTGGAGCTGGAGCCCGAGTTCATATCTTTCCAGACCCCTTATTTGTTTCCCTTATTATACCGCGCCCTAGCGTAAGTCCCGCTAACGTGTGAATGAAAGTGTTAGAATATTTGTAAAGTCCAGCTTAGGCGTGACACGGAATGTTAGAATATTGAATATTAAATTACACATTCATTTATCAGTCTAACCTTTCATAACAGTTGGCGATGGTCTCATAAAATTTTATACATGGCAGATGGATGGTGCAGCCTTCTCTATAAACATGTTTTATTAAATTAGATTAGACCGATTATACATAGCGCCATGCCGCTATAAATATACGTGTGTGTGTGTGTGTCGTACTGTTTTAGCTCCATGGAGGATTGTATTCAGCAACTGTACCAATATCTAAATTCATATAAAAATCCCAATCTTAGCCTTATATTTATATTATTTGAATTCTAGGATTCTCATTCAAAAGTTACCCAACGACCAAGCACATGTACTTGCCACATAGTGGCTTTCTCTCTACATGTCCAAAAGATTTTCTAGTCCATGTGTCTGAGAGTTTTAGGCTGCATTTGGTTTGGCTTTCAGGGAAAGCCTTTAGGGAAATGCAAAGCCCTTTAGTCTAAAGGGGTTTGGTGAAATGCAATTACTATTTGGTAAACTGTAATTGAAAAGGGCTTTGGAAAGAAATTTTGGAAGAAATGCTATTTGGAAAATATATATTTGGAAAGTCCGTTGGACTGACTAATTTAAGTTTTTTAACTTTAATTTGTTTAAAATTGAAAAAAAAACAATAACTTTAACTTTTATATTTTCGCGTTGAGAATAATGTAAAAGAGACATATTAACAAATTTATAAATTAAAAAATCATATCAAAATGGATCTTTTCAATTAAAAAGAGAGTAATTTTATTATAATAAACACAGTCATTTATGTCCTGTGGAAAGAAATGAGTTATCCTTAAATATTACAAATTTCCTCAACTATTTCTTAAAATCATGGCTATTTCATCACTTAAACGTGCCATGTTAGGAGATGCGCTATTATTTGTAGCACTCACCCCCTCATTTATAGCACCATGGTCAACTGAATATACGTACTCGGGGTCAATCTCTTTTCTTTCTTTTCTCGATGTGCCGCTGTTTCGTGGGTCTGAGTTATAATTGGTTTAGCAATATTTTCACCCACATGACACTCCAAATTATTATCAGTAGATCTTGCATTATCACCGATATCGGGTTGTGTGGCCTCAACATTCTCATCAATACATAAACCTTGTGCATGATTCTATGTGATTTCTTTGGTAGCAACTATATCTTTGAATTGTCTTTCTAACAACACTTCAAAATCGGAAGGTATACCTTTCGTCCTAAAAACCTTAAGCTTACAATTTGCATGTTATAATAGAAGATTTGAGTATGTTGTATCATTTAAGTGAACTTAGTAGAAAAGTAAAAAAAGAAGTGATAAAAACCCGAATTTTATTCTCCCACCATTCATCACTCGCATAATAGTTTTCTTTCTTTAATCCCATCCTAGTCCTGTTTCACTTAAAATCAATGTCCTTCATCTTTTTCATTCTTCTTTAAGATTTTCTCACTAACTCTTCTTTTGAATTTTATCATACTTTTTGCCCCTCAACTACTCGAACTTATTGATTATTACTGTCAATCCATCCCTCTTGTTGGTTGCAGGATGATTGCTTTTTTCAATTTGTTCAATGCACAACTTACAAATGTTTCCACATCTTTGGCGGTCCAATATTCCTTTTCCTTTGATGAACTTGCCATCTTCTAATAATATGAACAGGAACAAATTTGAGAGGGACCAAAAACAACTAGCAATTGAAGTGAAGTCAAATCAGGACAAACAGCAAAACACAAATCAAAGTGACATTGTGAAAACCTTCATGCTCA